CAGAAAATGTGTATGCATAAAAATCTGAGGGGCAAGATATTTTCATTATTGTTGTCTCACAACACAACTTTTTTTGATACATGTGTATGTTCGAAAAAGGTTCAAAAATAGGTTTGCTTGATAACATTTGGCATAATCTATGACCAGTTATCAGTAATTGATTATCAAAAAAATAGAATAGCCAAAGAATAGCTAAACATACAGTGTACACTGCTGTCCACAGTAAAGTGAATTACAAAATTAATTCCATTTACTCTGCAAATCAACCTTTACATCCAATTATTAAACCTAGGTTGAAAAACATATACCTGGTTGAAAGCAAACTGTTAAAAGACATATGACACATACAGACACGTACAAAATTTAATGGTCTTTTTTCTTTATTTTCTTAGTTTGGTGGGTTCTCAGCAGAATCTCTGGCAGAACGTATTCTTGATTCCAAGTGTAGAATTCTAATCACAGCAGGTAAATTATAGTAAGTAAATTGTAATTCTCCTTTATTGTTGTTTATAATGCACTTATCAGCGTCCATCCTAGGGGTTGACCCCTGGGAACCCCTGGGTATTATTTTACAGATCAACATTCACAAATCAACCTCTCCGCAGTTTACCAAAAAAGGTTACCATTAGCTCCTCCCCCTGAGGCAACAGTTGGTTCAGATGGAACCTTAGGTCACAAAGTGCGGTATTTCAAGGTGCCTTGCCCAGGGATGTCCCCAGGGTCTCCCCACACCCCCCCTCCAACCGCCTGGGTCATGGTGACTGAGAAATGCATACTGTCACAGCTGCTGGCATCACCATATTTATCAGGGAAAAGCCAATCAGTGGCAAGAAACTTTATTAAACTGCAAGCAGCAACGGTACATAACAGTGAATTCAACCTTCCACCAGCACAGTGAAATTTACCCTTTTTCGCTTTCTTAGTTTGGCAGCAATGATATATCTCATGCCATAATTATAAAACATTAACTGTTCTAAAAACAGTAATGTGCCACATAATTGAATTTTTGGCGGCATGTACCTAATAAATTAGACCACCATTAAGTAGTAGTGTGCCAATCATAGATTATAATCGATCATTGATCAAAAATCTTTAAGCGACGCAACAATCGATTGTGGATGATGATAATCGATTATTGTGGACAAAAAGTTATTCAGTGTTGAAATGTTGAATGGTTCTGTTGAAGACAATGATTTAGTATTGAAACTGAGTGTAAACTGTAAATTCCCCTCCGATTGCAGATTAAATAACCAGCCAGGCTTGGGGAATGCAATTTCTAAATTCTGTTAAGAAGAAAATCAGTTAGTAATAATATAAATAATAATAATACCACTGTGACTTGTACACAGGTGAAACAGACGTGCTTTTTTGACAATATATTTAAATTTTCTGATTATAATCAATGATCAATCGGTTGGGTCAATCCAAATATTTCCAATGGTCGAAGATAAAATCTCAGCCGATTCCTATCACTACCATTAAGTCAAAATGGTCCTTTCTTGTAAAGTCAGCTTTCCCTGACTCTGTTCAAATGGTGAAGTCATGTTCATGTATGCTTATTTTTAGATGGTTCCTATAGAGGTAAAAAGCTTATAAATCTGAAAGAAATTTCTGATGAAGCCATAGGGATGTGCAAAGAAGAGTGAGTATTGATTTGTTATTACTCATCAATGGAGGGGATGGTTTATGGTGCTGTAAATCCACAGTTATTGTGATGTTGAGTTGCTTGTTAAAAAGATTCTGATCAGCAGCAATATAATGCTCAAGGCTTCAACAAGGAAAGAATTAATGCATAAATGTGACCTCAAGACTCATCAGTTAATAATAATTTGTGACATATGTGACAATTGGAGCAAAACTTCCCAGGGCCAACTATAATTTTAGATATACTATCCTTTACATACAGTGTATGAGAACTTAAGAAACAAATTGTGAGTGATTCATGTCTCTAATTCTAATGGAATAATGCATTGAGAACTTCTTATCATGCCTCATCTTTACCTTTCTGTTTTAATACCTAGTAGACTTTCTTTGATCATTTCCTTTAAAATTTTCTTATTTACACACTTGTTTATTTATTTGCATTTTTACAGAGGATTTGTTGTTGAGAGCTGCATTGTTGTTCAGCATGTTAGTAGAGGAGCAGATAATGGAAATTCTGATCCACCTGTGGCCAAGAGACCCTGTCCTGAAGTTCCGGTAAATGCTGTTAATCATACAACAAAAATTATGATTCATAATCTTACATGTAACCTTTACAATCTACCAGTAATAAAACTAACAGTCTCCAGGTATTATAACTCAGGTGCTCCGAGTTAAGCAGGAGTGTATTACCAGGTTTAAAAACTCGAGGCAAAGCCTAGAGTTTTTACTCATAATAAGTGAGTGCAAGTTTTTTGAACAACTTCAAAATCTCTGATGTAGATCACCGCATTCTTGCACTGATAAATATTATTTAGATATGGGGTTACATGTATTTTGGTCTAAAAAAACTGGACGTAAAGTTAAGGCATGTGTCTTTATCAGGTTTAAAGACACTCATAAACATTACATTCAATAATAATATTATTATTCTAATTAAACAGGGTGCAAAGAAAATCATTTTTACAGCTTGCCATTCGGGCAAGCTGAAGCTAGCATTTACTAGCCCAGACGTCATTTCAACAAGCCCCAAAAACTTTTTGACTAGCAGAATTGATTTCATGGTTCTTCTGTTATTCAAATGCCTCAAAAAACCTCACTTGCCCGTCGGGCAAGTTAAAAACAGAATTCACTAGCCCGATAGCAAAATCCACTGGCCCCGGGCTATCGGACACTACTTTCTTGGCATGCTGTTAAAAGTCAATGTTGATAGCTTTCATTTTTTAAAAACAACAATAATAATTGGTAATTAAGCATACGTTAATCTTATTGTACACTTTACACACTTATGTATTGGAATAAAATGTTGAAGTTGAAGTTATAAATGAAGGTGCAATATAACAGGTATTTTAGGTATTTTATTTATTTGCCACATGATTACAATAATCACAAAAAGATGCCAAAAAAAAATGTAGGAAGAGATGGCGAGGAGGCCTAAAAGAAACTATAGAGCTTATGTTAATTAGGCCTCCTCAATTACAATTTTTCGAAGTTGTTAGAGAGCGAGCGGGAGGGGAAGGAAGGCATTTATTCGAAAGGGGTGCTTGTTTGATAGTTTGGCTTAGGGAGTAGCTTTTAAGAGCACTTATTAGAGAGTGGGTGCTTATTTGAGGAAATTCCGTTAATACTACATGTATCATTATCTGGTGACATTTCACATGCATCCGCAAATTTAATTTTGTAACTGCTCTATAATGTATGTTTTCAGACTCACTTTGATGATGTGCATGGTATTGATTGTTGGTGGCATGATGTGATGTCTTCAGCAAGTGATCAGTGTGATCCCTGCTGGACTGATGCTGAAGATCCCTTGTTTATGCTTTATACCAGGTAAAATGAGCTTTACGCTTTCTATTTTCATTTAGTCCTATTCTCAGTCATTCTCCCCCTTCCACCCCATTAATAGAATGAATCACTTGGGACATGTTAAGAAATTATATTTTATGCAATTCATCCCTTCATTTGATAATGTGCAGTTACATGTACAGCTGTAACTGTCAGTAGTCTTTGTGGAGGCATCAGGTAACCAGCAGGTGGTTAGCTTGTTAGATTAAGGAATTTGTGGTTCCGGATTTGAACCTTGTTGTCGCATTGTTTCCTGAGTAAGAATTATACTTGTTCTATTTTGTTTCTCTTCACCCTGTACTTATGTGTCCTGCAGCATGCCATTACTGTCACTAGGTTTTCACTTGGGAGGTCATATGTGTATGCAAATTTATTGGAACAAAAGAAAGTGTTAAAATGAAAAGTGTAACTTCCGTATAAGATTAGTATGGGACAACTGTAGCTTGTTTGTATCTCAAACCAACAACTTACTTGCTCCTTTATTTATTTTTAACCAGTGGATCAACTGGGAAACCAAAAGGTGTTCTTCATACAGTAGGAGGCTACATGATTTACACAGCAACCACCTTCAAGTAAGTTTTTTCATGAATTATTGTTCATGTACATGAAGCTTTCCAATGGTAACTTGATGTGGAAAGACACTGTCTTTTTATGGACTACAGCTGTAGGTTTGAAAGGGGGTTACTCAAGACATCACTGTTTTTTTCTCATGTGGGGTCAGTGGGCCGGTTGAACAATTCCCTTTTCAATAGAACAGCTTTAAGGGTAGACGACAGGAGGTTTTACATTTAAAGTTTGGTTCTCATAATGCCGGCAAAGTACCTGCCGCCTGTACTGCTTGCGATACTACTCTGACATTGACAATGATTTGCAGGTCTTTACTGCCATTGCGGTGTTTACCGCCGACATTGCAGGTCTTTACCACCAGCATTGCCTGTACATGTGAAGTCAAACTCGAATCAACTTTGCAGGCATGCCGGTGGTACAATACAGACTGACATGGCCTCTGTCGTTGGCGACTTCTGCTCTCATTTTGGAATGGTGTCGCAAAACTCCAGAATTTACTAACAAATGTATCAGCTGTTAAATTCGGGTTAAAATTTTTTAGCTTAGGTTGATTCTCAAATTCCTTTGTCCTCTAGCCCTTATTCTTGAATAATCAGTGCTAGGAGACATAGGAAATTGTGAATAAACCTATGTTAAAAAATTTTAACATGAACATACATAGATGTCAAGAGAGTGTGTCCCATAAACCATGCATGTATGCACCCCCTAGTAATTTTTTAAACGACTGTTAAATATTAGCCAGATTAACATCAAACTTGAGACTTGACCTGTTGAAATATATCCCATAATACATGGGACTTGTACCCAGCTCTCCTCCGTTTGAAATGAGGCAATAATTGCATCTTGTGTTTCTGCAGATACACATTTGATTATCACCCAGGAGAAGTTTACTGGTGTACAGCTGATATCGGCTGGATCACAGGCCATAGTTACATCACTTATGGCCCATTAGCAAATGGTGCAACAAGTGTTCTGGTATAAAAGTCAATTCACTTTTGATTGCAATAATCTATCTTTGACAGTTCCTCATTAATTGCCTCACACTTGCAAATTTTATAGTTCATCTTATAGAGAATTATTATGCTGTTTTAAGCACCCTTTTTTAATCCATTCGGTACAGCTTTGTAATAACAATTATTATTATAATGACACTTAATAGGAATGTCACTGAACCCATGTCTTTTGCAAAGACAATGCGATTCACTTTGGGCCGCTGTATTTTAAATTATATTTTTTTCTTTTTGTAAGGGCTCATAACATTTGTTGACCAGGTCACCATTAGGACAAACCAGAACACCTTAGAGTTCTACATTTAATATTACATGTATATGTGCTTCAGATTATCAGCTTTGAAATAATACAGTAATGGCCAGTCACCACAGTTATGTATTGTTAGTAATGATCTGTATAGTAATCTGTACAGTAATGATCTTTCTAGTTACCACATTCAACTGCAATTAAGATTAACTTCAACATGGACGAATTTTAGTCAGACATGGAGTACCGATACTACCCAATAACAACTTTCATTTGCAGCACTGAATGCATGGGCAATAGTGCATTACCTTGACTCCATTTTTCTTGATTATAGTTTGAGGGAACTCCTTTTTACCCTGATTCTGGGCGCTTTTGGGATGTTGTCGACAAATACAATGTCTCCAAGTTCTACACAGCTCCAACAGCCATTAGAGCTCTCATGAAGTTTGGAAAGGCTGTAGTAAAGAAGTAAGTCAACTCTCACTTGAAAAATGGATACACAAAGAACTGATAATGGTGTCGTAATCAGGCTATGCTCACAAATGTATGCAGTTTTTTTTTTATGCCAGTGATATCTATAAGTTATTTAAAGCAGCCATGCTGAGAATTGAATAAAACTGAAGTGAAGAAATACATAAAAAAATCTCATCTAGGAAACAGTAAAATAATAAAAGGGTGCTTGGAATAAGGCTCCAAGTGTCTTCTGATCTATATTATTTTTTAAATATCTAACTCTCTGTTAGATTCACAAGCATATACTATGCAAACTGGAAGCAGAAACTACCAGTTAATCAAAATACATGTAGTCTGACTAGAGGAAGGAGTGCAAGCTCATTTTCCCAAACAGAGACTGGTAAACAAGTCTATAGCTACAGATACACTGTATCTCAGTAAACAGGTTTTTTTTTTGGCCTATTATTTTAATATGAAGGACCATAGATGGCAAATGTTCCATACTACTATTTCTTTATCTGCATGATTACACTAATCATGATCCACCATTTACACTCTCAGAACAACCACTTACTGTCTTTGCGAAACTAAGTTATGAGAAGGGAGATTTTGCAAAGGCCTAGGGTCGTAAGACAGAGAATGGAGAGGGGGATAATTGTTGCTGAAGGAGAGGTGGAAGGGTAAAAAAAAAACCTGTCCAAGAACGGCGTTATTTGGCAATAGAGACCAAAATCACAGGATAACTTGTTAAAATGGGCAAAAGGACTCCCCCGAGACTTCAAGACGATTGCCTGTAATGCCCTGGGGTGTTACAAGGATGCCAGCATTGCATACAGGCAAAATCTATGGTTATTCTAACAGCGAAAATGAGAACATTGACACCAATGCAGTTAACTCTTGTTTTAATTATTTTGCAGGTCCAGTCGTAAGTCCCTGAAAGTACTAGGAACTGTAGGAGAGCCAATAAATCCTGAAGCTTGGCTTTGGTATTACCATACAGTGGGTGATGCACAATGCTCCATTGTGGATACTTACTGGCAGACAGAAACTGTGAGTAAACCGTGCTGGCAAGGCTGGGCATTGCTGTCAAAACGTTGGCTGTTGCTTTGAGTACCGGTATTTTGACACAAAGCAAAAGCTAAATTCTAGACACCTTCTACTGAGGCACTTTCTAGAAATAATTGACTCTCTGTATAGCTGTAAGTAGCTTTTTTTTTTAGCAGAATTGCTACTTGATTGTAGATCCACATGTAACACAGGGATAAAGTTATTGCAAGTTATAATATTATTATTGTTGTTAATATGGCATTAAGTGTACAGGTTCAGTATCATTATAAATGTACCAAACTTCTGGTCAATTTTAGCACCTACCCTGCTTTCCAGAAAAATTAATATTAAAAAAAATACACCGTTGCCAATAGACAGAATGTTTATTCATCTGCCCATATCAGTGTTGCCCTAAAAATTCTCTTTATCAAAGCACTGGGGGACTTGTGCACTGCAATTGCCATTCATTCATGTGAAATTGAGTTAATGTGTGTGTTAATGAAAACTCATTTTTATAGAAAAGGAATGGGGCACCAGACCAGGACTTACCCTGAAAGAGACTAAAGCTTTATGTAATTTGAAAGTAACCCATTCAGTAAACAGAAAGCTTCACAAGGTACATATAAGTGGCTGATCACAAATTAAGTGAAAATTCCTTCAAGCAACCTGGCAGGCAACTACTATAGAAGCCTTAACAGTAGTTCCTTTTAAGGACGGTACCCACTAATGGGAAGTATTTTTTTTCCCAGATAATGACTATGTGAGACAAGTAGATCATGTCAGGGGCTATTGAAATCCAAAAAGAAAACTGGGGGTAACCACGCATTTTTCAGAGATAACTGCACTTCAATATGGAGAAAAACGCTGAATAGGCATTTTTTAGAAAAATGATACAAAGTTATTTTCCCCAAAATTTCGGAGTGTACACGTGAACTGGCACAAATGCAATGATAATTGCAACAAGGTTTCAAAATAAGCAACAAATGATAACATAACAACTGCTCTTTATACGCCTTTTTTTGAAATATCAGCACAACTGGGAAGTTGTCAGCAGTTACCCCTCTCCACGCGTTTGCCTTAAAAATAGTGTAAACGACATTTTCCCCGAACCAAAAATTGATCGTTTGCTGAGTAGGCTTATTACTTTCATTTGGTAAGATAAAAAATAGGGGTTACCACGCGTTTTTAGAAGTTAAATTGGTTGGTTTCGGCCTTAACTTAATCGTTTTGGGGGCTATTTACAATTTTTCCTATCCCCTCCCTGGTCAGTTTCACTATTGCTTCACTCAACGCGGAGTACTCTGGGATATCCACAATGGCCGACAGTCAGAGAACAACAACCCACGAAAGAGAGCAAAAACAGAAAGTGAAGCAGGACATTTCATGGACCATAAGGAAAACAAATATGCTATTTCATTCAACTGGAGCTTCTCCGTCTCAAAAATTTAACTAAAATTTTTGGAAAAGAGCAATCTCGAAGGAATTAAAGATTACTTCCAGCGCACATAGAGTAGTATGTCGAGCTCAAGATGCAACGCTGGCGCTGTAAACAAACTACTGTACTGTAGTGGAAAATAGTCGACAGAGACTCTTAGACAGGTACTCCTTCAATCGTTTGCTTACCTGTACATGTCCTCAAGATTTTTTTAACTGTAGATGTAATATGGATTGTAAACCTTCTATCGTTTTTTATCATTTTACCGGGTACCTCAATCGAATATGTTATTAAACCGTGCATGCATTCAATGAGCTTATGTCTGTGCTTTGCGCTATCTCTTTCGGGCTTTGCCACAAGTTTCATATCACATAAATTATTTGCATATATAGACTCAAGTTCCATACATGATCATGAGCTCTCTTTTAAAAAAGCTGAATACTGCGAAAGTAGTTGTACCGAATGCGTTTATGTACCGTCATAATGCACTGGGCTATAATGATCATTTTATATATTTCGTTGTGATTTTTTTACTGTAGCATTCTGTGTCATGTTCATTCACTATTTTTGGTTCCTAAATGTTAATTTTAGGCTTAACAGTGTCTGTTAAACCTAAGAAAGTCTTAGAATGGAAATACTTTATTTACCTTCCATCTTTAGTTCGTAAACAGCCAAATGGCAGCTATGTCTAAATGTCCAGATTATGTCTGGCGTGAAATTGAACCTTAAGAAATACTATCTACACGACAAGCTGCCCATGAGTCAATAATTTTAATGCTTAGTACTGCCAAAATGCTTAAATAACAATGATAATACTAAAAAGCGTAACAATTTTCTACGATTTTCTCCGCGATGAAAGCGTTTCCTTTGCGGTCCGCAACTATTTGTGAAGCTGCGATCTCAACAATCCAAGCAATCTTGTGATAGTTTTTCTTGTTTGTTCGACAAATAAAAGCCTCGGACTCTCAATAAAACGGACATCAGTATGTACTCGAACGCTTTAAGTCTATCTTCTGCTGAATAATTACATAAAATCTTACAAAATTAAAGAAATATTCGGGAAAGTGTTTATAGCCGATTAGCCGATAAAACGCGAAGGACCTGAGTGAAAGGTAAGCTTGCAGTTTCTCGATTAAGCGGAGGACTTAGAGCTATTTTCCTTCTGATTTACTGATCCTTACCTATTAAGGGATTGTTTAATACCCAAGCTCCAAGCGTAACATCTCGAAGCAATAACTTTTGATGTTTTAGAATTGACTTTTGTTTGACTATAAAATGTTTGGTAAGATCGACCATAAAGGGGAAATAGCAACATGCGCATACTTCATGGGTTTTCAAAGAACTGACAAGGTAAATAAAAATTATTTTTCACCTGTTGAAAAACGACACATCTTTTCCTCAAGAAATAACTAGAACCTTCCAGACTTGGCGGAGACAAAACCAGTCCGCGTATCCTGCATGTTGCGCATTTCTTTCGCGTCGCGCGCGACTACCTTCGCATGCGCAGAAAATGTGCGCAGTAACAATAGTGGGCACCGTCCTTAAGTAAATGCTTTCAGGAGACTTTTAAACCCTTATTGTGGAGTATTGATGTTAATATGCTGTGTTTGTTGTAGGGTGGTCATGTGATTACATCACTTCCAGGAGCCACCCCCATGCGACCAGGAGCAGCAGTAAGTTTTGTTCATCCTGAGTTGGAATTATGGCATAAAAAAAGTTTATTCTTAACGTTCTGAAGGACCTTAATTAGCTCTGTTATAGCATTTCTTGTGTTGACTGTGCTTAAAAAAAATTAAAAAAAGATGAAACCTCATTCCTGCAGCCTTGAAGCATCTGCAGAGTTGTCAATCAAGTGTAGTGGGGTTCCACCCATCGGCATGTGTAGGGCACAGGCATGTGTGGAGCACCAACGACGAGCAAGAAAAAAGCTGGTTACCAGTATGTGTCCATCCGAGAAATTCTGATAATTACATAATTGTCCATGTACAACAATTCACCCTCTTTGTGTACACCATTGCACATCCTTTTATAAAACTGATTAACAATAATTTTTTATGCATCTTCCAATTAAGTCATAGTGGGACAACTGCTGACTTGTATCACATGACAGTATTGTAGGTTCAGATCCATGACCCTCTGAGGTCATCGATATTCTGGAAGTTGTTTGATGACCAGTTTATGCACTAGATCACTTGCTCAGGTTTTTTCGTCAGAAGTATCTAAGTAATGTTTTGAAGTTAATAATTGTTTCAAGTAAACAGTTAACTATGTAATAAAAGCTCTGCTTAACTTGTAGCTAAATCTGTGTAATAGTACAACCAAGGTCATGTGCCACACACTTTTTTACGTACATTGTGGTCCTTTATTGGTTATAGTGTAATTAAGTTTTGAAGTATGTTCTAAATAATATTATTATTTTATCTATAATTACTGACAACTTGTTATTATTCTCTTAATTAGTCATTTCCATTTTTTGGTGTTGTGCCGGCAATTGTTGATGAACATGGAAATGAACTTGAAGGACCATGTGAAGGATTTCTGGTGAGTGTGAAATATCATGCCTTATAAGGATTGTCTTTTTTTGAAAACTACATTTAAAAACAGTGGCAAAAATGTCTTTACAGTAAATATTATGTCTGGAAAAAAGATGGTAATGGATTTTGTCTTAATGACACTTCAGCAAGTCAGGGCTTTGCACTGGTGGTGCCAGGTGACCCTTCTCACCTACCTTTTAGATAAGAAATGATAAAGACTTTATTTAATGATGGTTGCCACTAAATAGCCAGAGCTAATAATCTTATGGCCTTCTAAAATAGCAAATAAACTATAATGAAAAAACAATATTATTAAATAGGTAATACTAAACTATATAAAATAGAAGATACAACTAAATATTTTAAATACTATAGATACTAAATACTATTAAAACTATATTAAAAATGCAACATATAGCTTTATAATCTCTCAAGCGACTTGGAAATCTTAGGTTTTGCATGGATAACATTATTATGTTTTTAGTATCCTGGATTTCACACGTCCAGAGCATTTTTTTTCCGAGGACACCCTTGCAAGTGATTAATTGCCAAGGGAATTAATTGTAATCTCATCTACAGCCTTAAACATTGAATTCAAAGTTCTGAACTCCTTTATGTCGTCTTTGCACTGTGATTACTGTAAGTTAGACAAGATAATGTTACATTATTCCATGACATTTTAAACTCCCATTTAATTTTTATATTTTAATGTTGAAGGTGATGAAACAGCCCTGGCCGGGCATGGCAAGAACTATCTATGGTGACCATGAGAGATTTGAAAGGGTGTACTTTTCTAAATTCCCTGGATATTACACAACGGGAGATGGTGAGTAATTAATTTCCTGTACATGTGTTTGTACAGATATCTCTAGTAGCATATGGACTAGGCAAAATAATCTGAAAACGCTTACATGATCAGTAAATAACATTCTAGGCAATGTGGAAAAATACTTTTTACAGTATCTTTAGTGATGTACAACTGTAAGGAACTCATTGCCTTACGTTTTCCCCATGTTTTATTAATTTTATTGTGCGGCCATTTTAGAGCAAAACCTTTATCATTATTATGATGTTCAGAGAGAACAATGGCATTCACGTATGTGCTTTGAATCGACCAAAACTGCCAAAAACACACAGTATAAAGAAATGGCCACAAGATATGGCATTCTGCTTAATTTTTATCACCATGCAATGACTCCTATTTTGCAAAGTTATAAAAATCCCATACATGTACATTAAACCTTTGACTTGATATACATCAAGGATTCTTCCTTGTGAGCTTAAGCTCCTGTGTTTGCATGCAACTGATTGCTGTACATTTTCTTGTTGAAGGTTGTAAGCGGGACAGTAATGGTTATTATTGGATAACGGGTAGAACTGATGACTGTATGAACGTGTCAGGTCACTTGCTGAGTACAGCGCAGGTTGAGAGTGCCTTGGTGGAGCATGATGCAGTCACCGAGGCCGCTGTTGTAAGTTTGAAACCTTGCTTAAAGGAGCTGTGTCGTAAATTCAATCTAAAATTCAAACGGTAGGAGCTGCCACTAAATCGAGTGAAGGATAAAATTAAATACTCAAAATATTAAAGAAAGTTACAAAAGAAGGCACAGATGGACAAACTTGAAGAACCTTGAAACAGATGGCGACAGTGTGGTTTACGTCCCCTTGGTGTCCGCATGAACAGTGTTTCACAGTAATATATTGTGTTTCTTATTATGTTTCTAAAGCTATAGACATTGTCGCTACCATATTAAGTTTTAAGCTGCTTTTTTTTTAATTAAAAAAGCAAAATAATACACCTACACATCTAAACAAAGGATAACAAATTAACTTAGATTGTAAACACATAGTCCATTTTTGTTTCGTTTTTTAAACTAAACACATTTGTTTGTTTGTTTGTTTGTTTGTTTTCACTAGGTGTCTTGTCCTCACAAAGAAAAAGGGGAAGGAATATACTGTTTCACAACTCTGATGGAGGTAATGTAGAATCGTACACATGTTGATAGTTTTTATGCGCTAGACATTGAAACTGTTGGTACCTTTCCACCACAGACTGAACAGGGGCGGATCTAAGGGGAGGGTGCGGGGTGCGCCCCCTCCCCTTCCCCCTGAGATGACCTGCAGCTTTCTAACACAACTGGCTTTAAAATTTTTCTTTGTCACCAGTCAGTCAGTTCCTTAAAGGAGCACCCCCTCTTAAGAAAAATCCTGGATCCGCCTCTGTTGAAGGTGGATAGGTAACTAAGCACGGATCGTGTCTTATTACCCCACTCCCCCAAGCAAATTTGCTTTAGGCTCCTTGCTTAGCCAGCGCCACAGGCAGAAATTACAGTTTATATGCTGGGAGTTAAGAAAAACGGGGTCTTGTGATAGCAGCCGTGAGTAGAGCTGTCCGCCTACGAGAGTAACCGTTAGGAGAGCTTCCACTGTATTTTCTAAAATCTACACAATTAGCATGATTGTCATTCAATGTTTAGGGTAACTGTATACCTTGAACGTCCTGCAAAATCCAATAATTATGTGCTTATGTATTTTCTGTAGGGAGTGGAATTTAATGAACAGCTGAAAAATGAACTCAAGCAAAAAGGTAACAACTTACAAAAATGTTTACATTGATTATTAATTTACTGTGTTCCACTGAGTTTATTAACATCACCAAAAACGTTCTCAACAAAATGAATTAATGCATTGAAGAGTGAATGTATACCAGTGAAGGGGAAGTTGAAAAGATCTTACTAGAAGTCACTTGGGAACAATGGCCAAGGATATATCTTAATCTCTTTGACGTTCAGCTTGTGACTACCTACTCGTTTATTTTAAATGGCACAGAAACCACAACGAAACCCCAGTAAGGGTCAGTCAGACCTGGATCAGTAAAATCTTTAACACCAAATTTTAAAGTTTAAACAGTTAAGTAGTTTCTTAGAAATCGATTTTAAGATAAATATTAGCGATAAAAAATGACGACGTTTCGACCTCTCCGAGGTCATTTTCAAGTGTATAAAAGTTCTCTAAATTAGCATAAATAAGTTAAAAACAAGTTATAATAGATAAAAATGTGGTGAACGCTAAAATGTGGTATAATATGTAAAAATATAAAAAGTGCTAAAAATATTTATAAAGTCAAAAAACAATGGAAATAAAACAATGTTAACAAGAACTGCTCTAAACAAATAATTTGGCGCGAATTGAATCGCACTGTTTGTTAAGCGTCGGTTTCAGTTCTTGGATAAAAAACATTTCAAAAATAAGACAGTCAAATTTGTTCTGACACTTTCTTAAGATTCTTAAACTTTGTGAGATGTCTTCAGGCTCCATATCATGCTGCTCTCTGAGGTGGTTTCCGACTGCCGATCCTTTGTGTTCTTCAATTCGTTGTTTTATACACTTGAAAATGACCTCGGAGAGGTCGAAACGTCGTGATTTTTTATCGCTAATATTTATCTTAAAACAGTTAACTGATCCTTACGGTAGAAAGAGTGATAGAAAAAAATAGAGGTGAGCCTCACGTGCCTTTCTGTACAGAGTCAAGGTTACTACGGATTAGTTGTAAGAGAACCAGAAGGACGTCGTTGATGGAGTGATCGGCTTGATTAAAATGTTTAGAGACAGGAGTAGGATTAGTAAGGTGGCCAGAGTTAAGGATGGAGCGGCGATCTTCCCCAGGAGTCAGTCGTGGAGCCTGTTGGCGCTTGGTCTCTGCAATGTATTGTTTGCCGCATCGCTAATTGATCACAGTCATAAGTCGAAAATGCCTGGGAAGGGTCGATTAAATATACTTTCTCCTTACTAATCTAGACAAGTTCTTTCAAATAAAAATTACACTGTTACATTTTTAGTCACCATAAAGTATTATTTTTTACCAGTAAATAAATGTTAGTACCACTACATACGTTTACACCCTGTAAAAGTATTGTTATGTTTTCTCTCATTTCAGTTCGCACCAAAATCGGACCATTTGCAACCCCTGACATCATTCAGAATGCCCCCGGGCTTCCTAAGACTCGCTCTGGGAAGATCATGAGACGAGTTTTGCGGCATGTTGCAAAGAATGACAAGAATATTGGTGACACTACAACAATGGCTGATTCCTCTGTGGTGGACACTTTGTTTGAAAATAGGCCGAATGTTAACTTTCTCCCTGACTAGTGTCTGATTCAGTGATACAAAGCTTAGTTGTTTAAAATCCTTTTCCACATTATCAAGGAACATGTCAACTACACCGGCCTGTGTTAATTCCTCTTAACAGTAGAAGAAAACGTGTCAAACGTCTGCACCAGGGACTGATTGGGTGTTCTGTGACCAAGTCAATGAAGGGATTAGTTTCTCTGATTTCAAGATAACTAATGTGGCGTTGTTATGTTCAGTGTTTTGTGGACGGGATGCTGTATAATTAGACTGCTTGCAGTCCGCCCTTTCTCTTTAAATCCGTCTAGTTCTCATCCAGCCAACGCGATTGCGAACAACGTCGTTACAAAAAGGGATTTTAAAAATTGAAAAGAAAAATAAGGGACGGCTCACAGTCTAAACCATAGACTTGTAAAATCATCATTTGGTACCTGTTTTGGGCCTTTTTTCTTACTTCTTATTTCTGTAGGGACATGGGGTGGGATGTTTGGAGGAAAGTTTGCATTTTTAAGTGTGCTGGGTTTATATTTAATGTTACTTTGCCCATCAAGGCTTATTTTAGGGAAGGAGCATTGAAAGTTATGCGTGCCTGCATGAGAGTTGAAAGAATTATACTTTAGCAATGGGCATAAATTTGTGGAGAGGGAGGGTTGTTTTATACTTGTCTGATAGCCATTCTTGCTAGAATTTGGCACTGATAAAACAGGTGTCTCTGGATTGATAATTGTTACTGCACTAGACGAGCATCGTTTTCTACGACTAAATCTTAAATATCTTCATCTTTATTATTGATTTCGAAGTCAGTTCTTGCGTAAGCCAACATTTTTTTAAGCAAATTTGTTCTCAGCCTCGGAACGTTTTACAAGTCAGTCATTTAAAGTAGGATATCAAATTCTGTATTGATGGCTTACTAGTCAGTTAGAGCAGGTGGATATTAAACTATTCTAGTTTCAAAATAAACCTTTCTTAGAAGGTGTAAACTTCTTAAAATAAAGGTTTTATAACAAACTCTATGTTTAAAAGTTGTCAGTAATTTTACACTTTTTGTAATGGCCCGCATGGGACCTAGACTGTGACTAGCAAACCCCTAGACAGTAAAATATTAAAACCAGACTCATGGCTGGCAAAACTAACTACATAGTCGTCAAATTCGGATAAAGGCCAACCTTCGTTGGCCTAGCTATTTCGACCATTGACAAGCGTCTCTAAGCACTGTCCAAGTGATAGAGCGATTTTCGCATGACCTTGAAATGAAAACAGGCGAACAAAACAGAAACAACAAACGAACGGAAATTGAGCGATTTGATTGGTTTATCGAACGGATGCAAACGCGCGTGGCTTTTGGTTGGTTATTATGGTCAAGCGAACGCTCGGGTGAAAAAATGTCATGCCTGAGAACTTTCTGGAAATCAACCGATACTTCGCTTTGACGTCATGCTGCAAAACGAATGGTCAATCGAGCAATACCTTCTCCATATAAGGGTTTTCTTTGGCGGGAAAACGAAGAGTCCATGTTTTGATCTTTTCATCCATTGGCTGATAAAACAAATAACGAACACTTACTGAAACCATTTTTCAAGGTCATACGAAAATCGCTCTATCCGTGTGCATGGAAACATGAGCATTCCATTCCAACTCCATCTTGAACACAAAGTGATATCAAAATGTACAATAATATACTTACACCCAAGTCAACAACAACAAGTCATACCCCGCCTCTATTAAATGGAAGACCCCCTCCCCCACATAGAGAGCTTTAGCAACGATGACGGCGAAAAGCAAAAGGTTTAATAAGCAAAACAACAACTTTGCACGTGCAGAATTCACGTGCAGCACTCTTTGCCGTCACTGCACGACTGCAATATGAAAATCCCTGACGAGACGTTTGTGGAGGACGGAAACAGAAGTAAACACAACACTGCGACTGAACTTTTCTTTCCCCTTCTTAAATCGTGTTCCGTCTCCAAGATTTCAATTCCAGGGAAATATACCAACATTTGACAATCAAAATGAGTTCAGTTGTAATAATTACGACAAACTTTGAAAAAAAAAACGCAAAGACTTTGGAATAGTGACGTTTCACCATCGTCGTTCCTGAAGCTTCCTATGGTGGACCTTACGATTCGACAACGGCGACACCAATAAACACGTCGCCGAGGAATAGACTTGACTTCTTATTGTTTCAAACTTTTTTTCCGATTATTCCAAGTTGCTCAATAAAAATAAAGGGAAATAGACAAGGGCTTCCTTCACACAGTACTGGTCGAAAAATTTGATCTGACACTGTTCAAACGGAACCGTTCAATGTTTCGGCGCTGTTCACACGGAGTTGTTCGAATCGCAATATTTCCAAGCAAAGCGAGTAATAACGCGACTAGTAAATCCATATTCGCAATTTCCGTTTGCAATTTTCGTGTTTTTGCAGCTGAAAAGTAACCACACATCCATGCAACCACGCCTTCGCTGTACAAAAATTTGCCAGTCACCGTGTACACACCTTGCTGTTCAAATTTTCGACCGCACCGGTCAGAAATTTGACATTGATTTTAGTGTTCAAATTTTTGAACGGCTAGCCGTCAAATTTTCCTACGGTTAGCGTGGTTCCGTGTGAACGGAACACCTAACCGTACGTATTTTCGAGCGGTACCGTTTGCCTTCAACGTAGCCTAGGCTGGAGTTGAAGAGGCGGGACTGCGTCCGAATTTATTGCCAAGCCTCTCGTTCTCAAGCGAAACTCAAAATTTGATCATTTCACGTCGTAGTTGGGCAGGGACGCACAAAAATTTCCAAAATGGCGTGATCACGTGCAGAGATGTTGGGCATGTTGACAGACTGAATTCAAATAGTACACACTGCTCTTCTCGACTTTTATCTTTAACAATTTCTTCTTTGCCCCCATGTCCTTATAATTCTTTGATTTATTACATTGATAATGATAACTACAGGCAAGAGAGCCTAGAACACGTTTACCAAACCTTTTATTAAAATATTTTCTGCTACACTAATTGTTAACAATCATGATAATTATCATTGTTAATTTGAAATGGTTAAGTTAACTTGTTAAACACAATTTCTAATATTTTTTTTTAAAAAAATTTCTTAATAATAGCAGGTCTTCTACAGCTCGTTAGGCAGCCGAACAGTTCCCTCTGATTTTTCTTGTAATGATATTATATGAGATTAAGATTAAGTTTTATTTTTCGTTTACTAGTATTCAAATATATGTTTTGCATTTATGGGGCAACATTTCTCAGACATGAACTTTGTTATACGTCTCAAAACTGTGATAAGGCCGAATCCAGAACTAGCTCCTTCTGACTCTCAGTCTAATGGCTCAGGCTTCATCATTCTACCCATGAACAAAATGCCACCTGACTTTTTATGACAGAGCAAGAACAGGAAGGGGTGATCAGCGCAAAAGACGGGAATCTTTGCCGAACCCCCAGATGGCGATTTAGACCGCGACATTACCACGGCTGTTGCTGCTGCAGCTTCTGTACCTTTCTCGTTGACCTCCACAAATGCCTTGTGAATGACATGGGACACAAACAGACCAGGTGAAATCCCTGTAAAGTCAGCTTTGGCGTTAAACATATCTGTTACACCCATTTTCGCTAGGGGCTTCTTCAGCTGGAATTCCTGTGTCATCTTGAATCTTGGCAAGTACACTTTCACTCTGCCTGGGGGTTGTTCTTGTGTTAGTGCAATAGCCTTTTGTAACTTGTCATGGGTGAGACTGGCCTCTACACTGGCCAACCCATACTTGTCTTGGGGTAGCAGAATCAACATCGAGAGATCCTCACCTTGGTAGGGCAACTCCAGCAATTGACAGCCAAGCTCTGCACCATTTGCAATGTGCTTGAATTTTGTCTTCAGCTTCATCATTTTCACTTTTACCTTTTCTTTTTTAGAAACAAAAAAATCTTTTGAACGAGTGGCTCTTCGATTAAACTCATTTTGCCAAATTCCCTTGAAATATATGGCATTCACCAGAGTCAATTTAGTGCTTGAGTTAAACACCCCCTCAGGAATTAAATTCTTAATATTCTCTTTTGTTTTCCTCTCCACCCAGTCATTCACCTCTTTCCTAGCTCCCTCTGGATCCTTCTGGTAATCGGTCAAAGCCGTTTCTGCATTATAGAATCTTTTTGTTCCCTCAAGGAACTCTTGCTCGATGGTTAAACTTTTTTGCACAAAAAGTCGATTGGCGGCTAATAATTCGTTCCCCTCAGCGTTCGAATCTTGTAATGCATCGAGAAAATGTCGCTGCTGATCGTGCAGTTGATCGCTTGTCATAGCTTCCCAGTGGAGAGCTTCTGACAGTTGTTTGGCTGTGTCTCCTCTGGCTCCCATGGACGTCATGGCCAAAGCAATACTTATACTACTTGGGGAATAAAAAAGGTTTTTATCCGTGAACTTGTCATCTTTCTGGAGAACTTGATAAAGATCCAAGGTGAATTTGTTGTTAGCTTCTACTACAGACTGCATTTTGGATACTGCTGCCCGTAAACTGAAACAAGTAGCGCAAAGAAAGACTTCTTGTAGTTGTAACAATTTTTTTGTTTTTTCCTGCCGACGTGTTTCGCGTCTAACTGAGCTACCTAACAACGAACAGATTATATAAAAATTGCGTGCTCAAGTTCAGCATCCCAAGGAAGTGAGTAATAACTGAAACATGCTGTAAACGGAAGTTAGTATATGTTATTGTGTACATGTCGATGGGAACCAATACTAATAGCGTTATTCGGCTAATTGCGCTATGTCCGCTATTTAATCGAGACAAGTTTCCGTTACACTATATACTATATATTTTACAGGTTTAAAACATTCTATTACAGGTAACTAAGCAGTCAAGTGACAAAGACTACTGCAAAGCTGATTTAAAACAACGTGTATTGTTTTTTTATAACAATATTTCGGCTGGCCATACCAGCCTTCTTCAGGTTTACAGATGTTACTGAACTTATGTAGCAATCACAATAATATATAAATGGAGAATGTCGCAATAAATGGGAGAGGCGGAAATGACGCACAACATAAAAACTGGAAAGGAAAAATACTAACTAAAGGATATGGATTACAATAATTCGTCACGGCGGTTTAGCCCATGAGATTCAAGAGTCATGGTCTTATCTATCAAATGCGACTCCCTGGCCTTACGAACTGAGTCACGTAAAGAATGAATTTTCTCTAGTGGGATTAACTGCATGTCAGTATGAGAATGGTTAGAGTGAGAGAGAAAGTGTTCAGAAACAGTAGTGGGTTTAGATTTAATTTTAGTTTTGTCGACTGCCCGTCTGTGTTCGTTAAATCTGTCCTTGACACGTCGCTTAGTTTCACCTATATATTGTAAATTACAATGGTTACATTGAACCATGTAGATCACATTTTTAGTGTTACAAGTAATGTGTGAAGTGATGGAGCGCGTTTCACCTGTAGCGTAAAAGATATAACTTGTGAGGCCGTTAGTAATGTATGGACAAGTGGCACAATTCTGTCCACAACGGAAGAAGGCTGGCGGAAAATGATTGGTGGAGATAACGGGTAGTTGTGCTTTAACTAAAAGGTCACGAAGATTAGAGCTACGTCTGTAAGCAACAAAAGGCGGTTGCTTAAAGACGTCTTTGCAACGGTTAGAGGAGTGTGACATGTTATAGCCTGCAGTGCAGGCGTTTTCTTTGAGCGCGCAATTTGCTCGTGAAAGCGCCATGTTGAAACTTCCCGAAGAGAGGAGGAAATGGGGCGAGTCAAAGGGAGCGGGGAGGGGGCGGGGAGAGAGAAGAGAAAACGCCTGCCCGAAAACACTGTGAAAAAGAGAAACACCCCCTAATTAGACGCGCGTGACCGCTCTTCCGGAAATGAGTAGCCGACAGCAACAAAACAACCAAACAGTCGCTCCAGTCCAAAGACTCGCATTGTCTTAAGAAAAACAAGCGGGAGTTTATCATTGCTTTTATCTTGACTGAGTCACAATGCAATTCTCCACAGCTGATGAAGCTTCAGTTTAAGCTGCAATTCATTCTTCTAAATTCATCTCTGTAAACCGCTATCCGTGAGAGTTTAACATTCTGAAAACAATTTAAAAAACTAACGAGCTGGGCCCAGCGTGATACAACATTGCAGGAAAACATTTCATTCTCGGACTAGAAAGGAAATCGCTTAGTTTTCAAGATCCTGAGGCACTTTGGACAAAAATAAAAAACCTAACAGCCTTATTTAGGGACAAAGAAGTCAAAGAAAACACTCTTGCATCAGAGACCAGAAATTCAAAAGGACCAAAAGCCACAGAAAATAAATAAGCGTGTCATGACCTCTCAGTGTGAAACAAGCGGCTAAAATCACATTTGCTCAGTCAAAACATAGAACCCTCTAGAGCATAATCTACGCGCCAGAAAAAACAATGTGTTGGAACAAGCAGCATTTTGGCATGACGTAAAAGTGGTGTAGGTTTTAGTATTGCGAGCAAATCTTGTCCTGATGATCAGTGTAGAAATCGCTTTGACTTTCTCATTGCGTAATACACGCGACATTCCCAGCCGCTCCAATTCCAAACGGAATAAACAATGTAGACTTGCAGTTAATTGACAGGCATCAATCTACTTCCCTATGCCGTACCAATAAGGAGCTCCGTTTGCCAGCGTACGGAGTTTCCCAAAAGAACAATGGTATCGGGCAGGCGTATTCTTTTTCTCCCCTCCCCCTCCCCCCTTGCCTTCTTTCGCCCTCGCACCTACCGTAAGGGTTCATAAAATCAAAGATGGCGGCTACAACAACATTACGAACAAGAACAAGGTTTCGCCCACCCAAAATACGCCTGCACTGCACTACACTTTAAACATGTTAAAATGTTTGCGTAGGATATTAGAAATGCGTGGAAGTGCTGGGTTATATGTGACAACAAATATACAACATCGTTAGAAGCTTTGGGTTTAGTCCGTAACGCGTTAGTACGAGAAATTAGCAGCGCGTAGGAACTGTTTTTCAAGGAAATTATTATTATAACCACGAGCAAGGAGATATTTTTAAACCCGTAAAGTTTGACCATATACATGGTTATTTGGCGGGAAGTTTGAATGTCTTTAATTAAATGTAACCTTATACGCCTTTTTATCCCATTGAGATGGGATTTTCACCAGAAATCATGATTCTGTACAGAAAACTGATGTCAAATTTTTACCATTTCTTTCCTGAATTTTCTTTTTGATGCCAGATTTGGACATCATTTATGACGTCACAGTAGACGTCACATTGGATAGAATAAACACCAATAAATAGGTAATTTATCAACCTACTTCCCTGACAAGTTTCGTTACATTCTATGCATTCTACTAACTGTATATGAACTAAAACTCTCAGGTTCGAGAGGTGCGGGAGCACAAGCCTTAGCAACTGACCACCGTGTAAGGAAACAGAATATTTTTCGAGTTTTTCTTCTTTAAAAATTCTATTAAATGATGTATCTTTTATAACAATTTATCTACTTCAAAGCGCGGTCAAGGTATAAATTTCTGAGGTTCCTCTCAGGTCTTGGGAGCCTTACGAAAATCTTCATACGGGACATGTTGGAGTGACTAGGTTTCGCGCGTTGACCTTCGCTGTCATTTCTATCATCAAGCAAAAAAAAATGGTAACATTGCCAACGTGTTGATCATTTTTCATCATTTGACGAAGTTGAACCCATTCATAGGAAAGGTTAAAAATGTGTTGCGAATCATTGAGAAACCTTGCAATGCATTTTATAGCATTCAAACTAGTTAAAAATCGCATTTTACTCTTAAAGCAGTACAGTAAAAACCCGCGTATAAGAACCTAACATTTAAGAACCTGTTAGGCCAAAATTTCATTTTTAAGCACCCTTCACATAAGAACCATTTTAGGCTAAAATCCTAAAACAGGTTCTTATTTTAAAAAAAAAATATATATATATATATATATATATATATATAACACAGTCTGTATGCAATAATACTCTAAACACTATAGCATGGTTACATAAAACTTTACCATAAGTTTGATTGTAACAGAATCAGATTAAAATAGTATAGTATTTTGCTTAACGAAGCCTCCAAGAATACTGTTTTTGGACATTTAACACCAGATCATTTAAAAATTCAGCTTTATTTCTTGAACAAAAGTTAAGAACCTAATTAAGAACCTAGTTAGCCTAATTCTACACTAAATACCATTTATATAAGAACCAGTTTAGGCTAACTTGGAAAAACCTAGGTTCTTATACGCAGGTTTTTACTGTAGTCACACCCGCTTCTCGAGCGTGATAAGGCCGAATTAATCCAGAACTAGCTCCTTCTTACTCTCAGTCTAATGGCTCAGGCTTCGGCTGATCAATTTGCAAAGATAATCCGGCGCCATGCCGTGAATAGCTTTAAACGTCATCAGTAAAATCTTAAACTCAATGCGAAACTTGATGAGAAGCCAGTGAAGCTGAGATAAGACTGGTGTTCTTATACGCGGGTTTTTACTGTATATGGCAAAACTTAGGTTGCTCAAAATAAGCCTTGTAGCTGCGTTTTGAACTCTTTGAATCTTATCAATTTGTACCTGTGACAATCCATAGAGTAAACTGTTACAGTAATCTAATCGGCTGGAGACAAACGCGTGAATCAAAGTCTCTGAGGAGTCACGTGACAGGTGTTTTCTTATCCGCCTAATGTTGTGGAGATAGTAAAATGATGTATTACAGTTGTTGATGACCGTACCGGTCAAAAATTGATCCTCGATTTTAGCGTTCAAATTTTTAAACGGCTAGGCGTTCAAATTTTCGTATGGAAAGCGTGACTCTCCCTTGAACAGAACACCTAACCGCGGGAATTTTCGACCGGTACCGTGTGCTTTTAAGGTAGCCTAGGCTGCAGCTGAAGAGGCGGGACTGCGTCCGAATTTATTGCCAAGCCTCTCGTTCTCAAGCGAAATTCAAAATTTGATCATTTTACGTCGTAGTTGGGCAGGGACGCAAAAAATCTTCAAAAAGGGGTGATCACATGCAGAGATGTTCGGAATGTTCGATCAAACCTTGTGTAGACTTGTGTATAGATCCTCAAGTCAAACCTTCAGTTTGTGTGTTGACAGACTGAATTCAAATACACACGGCTCTTCTCGACTTTTATCATTAAAAATTTCTTCTTTGTTTCATGTCCTTATAGTGCTTTAATTTATTACATTAATAATAATAACTATAGGCAGGAGATCCTTGAACACGTTTACCAAACCTTTTATTAAAATATTTCCTGCTACACTAATTGTTAATAATAATAATAATTATAATGATAATTGTATTAATTGTTAATTTGAAATGGATAAGTTAACTTGTTAACCACAATTTCTAATATTTTTCTAAAAAAAATTTCATTATAACGATATAATGACAAATATTCTACAGCTTATTCGGCAGCCGATCAGTACCCTCTGATTTTTCTTGTAATAATATTATATGACATTAAGATTAATTTTTATTTTTCGTTACTAGGTAC